TCGACTATCACCTGAATTATTTGAGAAAGAATACTTTAGCCGTATGAATCAATATCAGTCTCTTATTTAAGAGCATAAGATCGAGTTTTTATCAATTATTTTTCCAAAGTAATAGCTTTTAAACGTTGTATTAAGATTCATTTTCACATGTATTTAATAAAAAAATTTATAGAACATTAAAAACGTATTGTATAACCAAAATAATTACAGGATCTAAGTAACTTTATAAATGGACTTTTCCGCAAAATGTTGGAGAAAACTATGATTTTAAGGTAAAGTTTGAATTGCTATAATGATGCATTCAAACTTGGTTAATATTGTCTACTTCTGCTGAACATGTTGTAGCGAGGTGAGCGATACTTTTATTAGATCTAACAGCCTGGTGAAGTAAGCAAAACAAGATAAGTTTGGATGGATGACAAATGCTGACAGAAGCTGACTGTGTAATGGTGCAATTAAAATTTATGTAATTCTATTACTTTTGTTAAATGTTGTGATTAATCTAAGATAAAAAACCTGATCTCATAGACTCTGAAATCGTTTACTTTTTTTGATAGCGTATGTTAAATGTATATTGAATTGAATGAAATGTGGTATCAATCAAAATCGAAAAGAATATAAAAACTGAAATTTTGAGAAATAGAACTAGACAACCAGTGGAATAGGAAAATACATTAAGGATTCAAAGACGAATTAGTATCAGATTTCCGAGAACAGACGATATTTTCCGCTATAAGCGTTTCAGTTACAATGCAAAATCATACTTGTTGACGACATTGCTTTTAGTACAATACAAATTTCTTATTAATTCAAGAAAATCGATTCATTTAAGTGTTTGATATTGTTATTAATCGTCTTAACTGTACTCCTTATGATAAATGTCTCTTATCACAAAATCTTTCGTGTTTAGGAGATTATTGAAAATAAAATTTATTATTACATAAAATTGTCTATCTGTCAGAATAAGAAAATGAAATGATTTTTTTTTTTTCTAGTCTCAAAGTAAATGAACATACGTCGTTCGCTTGAAGAATAAAGAATAAAACAAAAAGGTAAATACTCGAGTGTCTATAGATCCTATTTATTATTCATTTATCTGAGCCTTCGCTTAATGATATTATTGATTCTATTAAATACTTATTCTTGAAAACAAACGAAGAACGCGCGACAAGAACATTTTTCTCTATAAGGAAATTTTTTTTCTTAACAGATATGTAAGAACGAAATAGGTTACATTAACGTATAATAAATAACCCAAATATTTTTTAATGTAAAATTGTTGCATTTTGCAGGGTTTCATTTTGTTTAATTGTACATAAAAATTCCTTATTTTTTATTTTATTTCTCTATTTTTAACTTGTAAATATGATTAACATATCAGTGACGAAGTATTTGCCATAGTAATCATCATAAATTCTTTGCATAGTGATAATCTCAGAGCATCAAAATTAATAAACGATGTGATTCATTTATACTTTCAAATGAAAAAAGAAATTGAATTAAAGGTAAGTGAAGAGAAGAAGAAATGATAGATAGAGAAGAAAGTCGTTTTTGACCAAATGTTTTCTGAAACGATGCAATACTTGTCATTTGTTCTTTCTTGTTTTATTTTTTTTTCTTCTTGCATCTCACTCTCACTTGTTTCATATATAAAGACTAACTTATTTTACTTTTTTTTTTTTATGATAACTTTATTTTATTCTTTTTTTTTTTTTTAACCAAAGGAAAAGTTCTTCTACATCCGTTTCCGTCATTCTCATTTGGTTGAGATGATAATAAAACAAAAAAACTTCTTGATTTTCATGAAAAAAATTTCAACGGAAGAATTTTAGCTAATATAATGTTAAACAATAAAATATCTTACTTTCATCATGTTAATAGTCCTGAGCAAATTGGTAATGGTGATGATGGAAGTAGTGAAGATGATCAACAGTCAGAAAAAATTGTTGAAAAATTGAATAAACGTTTAAGTATTGATAGACAAAATCGAAATCGCCCAAGAGATTATGCATCAATATTGAGAGAATATAATACACCAAAATATACATTGCCCACAAAATCTATTTATTATTTTCATAATATACCACAAAAACAAAGAAGAGCAACAATGACGACCATAATAAATCAAGTAAATTATGTTGATATGATTTTAGAAAGTACAATTTTGCTTGTTGCTATCGATTTTACTCTAACAAAAGAATAATGAATATGTATGAGTTTTAATATGAAGTGGTCGATTGTTAACTTGGGAAAAATTTGTTCTTTATCTTGTATTACTTTTTGTGTGGTTAAAAACAAAGCGGAAACTGAAACATCATCCCTCCCAGATAGAAGCAACCAGCTAAGAATTAATTAGAATAAGAAGTTAACAGTATGTCTGTTTTTTAGAAGATTTATTTACATTTGTAAGTATTCATGTAGTCCAGCAATTGTTGAATTCTATTTTTGTAAAAACTTTCAAGGACACGTCCGTTCTCCCAAAGAGATGGAAGTTTGAAGTTTATTTTTATAGAGAGAATCCTATGGGAAAATGGATTTCGAAAAATATTGGGGTTTACATAACTGAAATGTGAGATTTACGGAGTCTTAAAATAGGGTTTGCATAGACTTAAATTGGGACTCTGGGGTTTACATAGTCTTACATTTTGAAGATTACATAGTCTTAAAAAGGCGTTTATATACTCTTAAAATGGGGTTTACATAGTATTAATCACGTGCAGATGGAGTTTACATAATCTTACTTTCTTGTTAAGAATAGGCAAGAATGTTGGTAGGTAAGACAGTAGAAATATAGTCGCGCCAGTGTTTCTGCCTGTTTTTGTAAAGGTCATGAAAATTTTCACACTTTTTGCTCCACAGGAGCAATGCTGATAAGCTTTTTTAATTGTTCAAAACGAGACTTTTCCTCGACAAGAAAATGCACACAAATATATTGTCTTCTAATGACAAGTGATGCATCTTTTAAATTGTCATTCTTTTTAGTCTATCATACGCGAGAAGTAAATAATTATAATCTTTTTAGAGACTCCCACTATCATTACAAAAAGTTCCACCACCGAGTCCCATTCGTTCTCAAAAATTACATTTAACGCCTCGAACAAATTATTTTGTCGGTTTATATCAGGCATCAGTTCACTTAAATCAAAGAGGAAAAAACACATCATTACCTGCAAATTCGGCAAGAAAAATAGGAGATAGCGATTTCTCGACTAATATCAACAATGACAATAATGTTACTCCACCTCTGCTAACAAAACAGTATGCATCATTCAACCATAGACCAAAAACAAATTTGAATTTTTCTCATTATAACTCATCAATATCACCAACAGTCTCTGATCATAATTTGATAACATCGAACAATACAAATCATAAATCAAAGATATTTAATCGTTCATTATCGGTAAAATCGAACAAACTGGGCAATAATTGTAATGGTCATTTATCAACAATAGTTCCTTCAATTGTACAATTAGACACTAGTTCTGATGGTCAAATATTAATAGCTGATGGAAAAAGATTATTAGGAAATTATTCTACCTATAAGAAACACTTTGTTGTACCATCTTGATCTTATTTTTATCGCTCGTTGTCCTAAGTGAGAGGTGTTCACTAAATATACAGAAAGTTATTTTAATATAGTAACCAGTATTTTATTTAGAAGATTGTGACAGTTTTTTAATTACTATTTTCAACCATCTTTCTGTTAGTATTCGTTGTCACATTAGCCAAAAGACTCTTGGGAAAAAAACAATTTACAGAAATAACATAATGATAGAATCAATTCTTTGAATTTTTAATACTTTTATTCTATGATCGATGCACTTAGGTTTTATGTTTAGGTTTCTAATAAATTGATCTGATTAATTATGCATAACGTATTAATATTGTTATTGTAATTATATTATTTTTACACATGTTGTATATTTTTATATTTTACCTTATTCAATTTTTCTACGGAACCTCATATATTTCTTAGCACTTTTAAATAAATAAATGTGCCACACACTTCATTTCATTTCAAGAGTAGAGAAGATACACGCATCTAAGTTTTTGGCAATTATGGGAAGAAAGATTTCCCTTCTATTTACATAGTTTCTGTTAACTTCCATTTATATTATTTACTTTCATTTCATTTTCTATTACGGTAACACAGTTTTAAAATTAATGATCCAAAGATATATCAGAGATGGAAAAGCTGGCAGAGTTGCATGGACTAATTGTGATCTATAGATTAGGGGTGGTACGTTCCCGTTAGATTACTTGGAAAAGTAACGGTTTCCCATTACTAGTTACAGGTCCGTTACTACCTACTAGTAGCGAGTAATGGAAATTCATTACCTGTTATCAGGAACGGGTAACAGAAAGTAACGGTAGAAGATTCTTTTTGTTGTTTTCACAATTTCTTATTTATTTTGTTAAACATCTCTAATTAATGGAAAAAGGTAAGTAATTTTAGAAATAACTGTAACACTGTAAACTTCATGTACTGTTACGCTGAATAATGCTCATGTTGATTTAAGTTTCAAAAACCTATCCTTTAATTTAATGCTTTTATGAGTTTCAACGGACTAACAAATGAATTAACAGGATTATTTCGACGAAAAAAAATAGTTCATCAGTTACTTTTTCAGAAGTAATACGAGTAGCGGATTTCCATTACCCGTTACAGTAATGATAAAGGAAAGTGTTACCTCTAATGTAGATATAAATCACACAAAGTGGACAAACGCACATCTTCCATCGTTTGTTAAAATCCGATTGACAGTGTCAACTGTATACATACATAAAACCCATCACAATCAGATAAAAAATACCCAGTACGCTACAAGGATACAAACTACAATCTCATTTTTAAAAAACAATTAAAAAAAACTATTTGTTCGCTTCTTTTTTTGCTAAAAATTTAAAAAGAAAATTTGAGCAAGAAAAGGATTGAAAATCCCAGAGAGATGAAAAATTATAAACATTTTTATGCTCGATTTGCAGCTCATATTTTATTTTCGGTAGTAAAAGCAAACGAAAAGCGTATGAAATTTTTTGTCTACACGATCTGATAGATCTCATCGAGCCAATCAAGAACATACGTAAGAGAGTGGTTACAAACAAAAGAAGTGACTGTTTAATTTAAATATTGTCTTCCCATCGGTTATTGTGACATCTTATACGAAACAATCAATCTTTTTTCTCTGATGCGACTGCTAATTTGGTGACAACATTTTTATTGTAGTCGATAACGCGTGAATACGTAGAATAAAATTGATTTACACTCTTAAACACATTTTTACAAACATATTCTTGTAGCATTTTTCACGCACTATCGACTACAATAAAAACGTTGTCACCAAATTAGAAATCGCATCAGAGAGAAAAGATTGATTGTTTCGTATAAGATGTCACAATAACTGATGGGAAGACAATATTTAAATCAAAAAGCCACTTGTTTTATTTGTAATTGTTAATAATTCTTTTTTGCTTGAGAAATCAGATTGTAGTTTGTGTCGTTGTACAGTATTAGTTATTTTTGATCTGATTGTGATGGGTTTCTATGCATATGACAGGGTTCTGTGATTAATGGCACGTTTATTGAGAACACGTTTGCTAATGACATTAGAAGAAACGTTGAAATTTTGAACGCATGATTTAATAGTATCGTTTTACACACGTTTCACAACAGCATGACCAAAAAGAAACAAAAAACTATTTCGCTGTAAGACGTGTTTCCAAAAGCATTGGATCTGAAACATGTGATGCATTTTTCGGTCGTTACAAATGAATAACAGACATGTTTTGTGGTCTGTTTTATTATCTTTGGGTAGTATCAAAATTGGCTTCTGAAAAACGGTGGAATGTGGGTAAAAAATTGAGTAATTATAATAAAGTGATGCATACTCACAGGAAATTGATCAGAGTTAATTACTACTAATAAATTTGCGTGAAACTTTCATATCAGTAGATCGCTGAATATCAGATCCGTCTATCTGCATATTATCGTTTTTCGCAGATCAAAATGAATTAAACTATATCCAAAATATTTCAAAGTTTTAAACGATCATCATAATTACGCCCATGTGACAACTACAGCCACTAGTCTTGATATTATGAAACTAGTTGAAACTGAATTAATTCACGTTCTTGTTAGTAAAACTAAGCATTGGAATCAACTAAATTCAGTACCTAGACAAGAATATCATGCGTCTATCAAGATTATTAAAGTGGTTTACTCTGAACCTTGTTCTTAGAAAACGACCCGATTTAAGATGATAACCGAACAATTTGAATTTGTTCAATGAATGTCTATATAATTGATGACTTAGAAGGCTAATGTATTTGTAACTGTGACACATGTCCTAAATATAAATAATATTATAATTAAAAATCTGCGTACGGTCGTTGTCAAACAATTACAAATGGCTTGCATTTTGAAAGAATTATTCGCATTCACATCTGTAAATTGTACGTTGCATTGATATGTTAAAACATTTCATGACAAAATAGATTGTCATCGTCCTGAGAGTATTGACAAATTGTATTTTGATCATGTTTTTTAAGCATTGCATCAATTGATAATCATTAATTTTGTTATATATTCATATCTTAACTTGTTTATCAGCGTCATTTGAGAAGAGAAGACATTTAATTAAATACTCGTCCATTAAATAATATTGATATATCTTCTGATCAGAGGCGGCGGAACGTTCCCAAACGGGGTAAGGCTCATGGTAAAGTAGCAGCGAATTTAGAAAGTTTTTTGAAAAGGTACAATTTTCCGTAAAAGTTTTCGTAGCAAGAGCAAGCACACGAAAATATTGTTTTGAGCTCAATTCGCCGAAATAAAATGTCAGCTCGAGCTCCAAGAATCCAAGCTGCTTCTACTCAGACCCCGAATAAGTGACGTTCGCAGCAAAAAGGCCAAAAGAGGGAAGAAATTTGCGCTACACTAATCACAGCAAAACATATTTGTTTGGAAAACGTGGCATATCTATATAATTAAAGGACTACTTCGTTATTTTGAACAAAAGACAATTTACATTTCGAGCTTTCTCAGCGTTCCTGATGCCAAAAGGTTCGCATCTTATTCCGATCCAGTCGTCTCTCCTCACCGCACATATCTCATGTTAGTCTCTCCGTTTAAGATCACTGAAAAACAGCAGAGTTTAATTCGCGCAGCAAAAGTTTTTTTCGTCTTTTCTTCAGATAAATAAGACGTTTCTACCAATGTAGCAAAGTTTTATCCAAATAGCATAGCATTTTAAATTTAAAATTCTACATCAAAACAGGATAAGGCCCAGCCTAACAGAGTCAAATCCGGGTAAGGCTTAAGCCTTACCCAGCCTAGTGGTTCCGCCGCGCTTGCTTCTGATATCATTCGGTGTTAATTGTCAATCATTGCCACATTATGCGATATGCAACTAGGAATTAATTAACCCAGTTGTCTCAGATTATTTTTCATTTTCGGAAAATGTCCATAATATAATAATAATAATATCTAAACTGATAACATGTGAAAACCATTAATAGGGTGCGAAAACATTCTACATGTGTGAACGATAATCTTGACTAATGTATCATGTTTTTAAAAGTTGAACAAAGAACAATACAAAATATTGATGGTGACCGATCGTACTACAATAAGACATAGTATAATGGATGACAACTAAGTTCGAAATCTATATTGAACGAATGAAGTCTATATTTAGAAAGAAGAGAGTACTCCTTTTCCGATCAACATGACCAAAAACGATATAACTCTAAAGTATAAAAAATTGCTTCATTAAGAACTTGCTTTAAATTATTGCAATTTCACTACATTATAAAAAAAATGTTCATTGGGGCATTGGCAGTGTGTATACGTACTCACCAAACGCAGATATATTCCTACCAAAAAAATGTCCCACTATCAATTTTCGATGTCGCACAGATTTCTGCTGATGCTCTATATAGGAACTTTATTTAGACACTCACTAGTTTTTTTACTATATTTGCTTATTGCTATTTAATTTTGTATTGATCGAAGTGCGATACTCATACACATTGGTCAGTACCACATAAACATGCCATGATCATGTGATACTTCTCGTACGAGGGGGAAAAGATAAAGTCAAAAGGACACTCGAAATCTTGCAAGTAAATTATGATGTTTATATAGACAGACGTTGACAAAACAAAATGTTGATTGAATTGAAATTTTTGTAATGTGTACTCGTACTGTACAAGTGTCAGTAAAAAATTTTTGTAAGATAAGAATAGAGAATGAAACAATTTATTGTTAAGATTTCAGCCACATTTCGATTAGTGTTTCTCCATATGCATTTGCTTTGGCAAAGATCGAGATGTACATTAATAATACACTTTTGTGGCAAAAAATAACAGTAGAATTAGTAAAGAGAGGAGTTTATAATTTAGATTAAATTGGTATTATGAACATTGTGAAAACGTCTTCATAATAGTTGAATAAACAACTAATAGCCATCAGGTAAAGAAACATACTCGAGCAGAATATATCTTGAGTTACACATTATTGTTTTGTCACTTTTGAAGTGTTAGTATTATTTATGCTCACAGCTTTTC